ACGTAGGGCTGGGTGGGAATCTGCAGCAAAGCAGCCCGCCGCTGAAGATCTGGGGTTTGTTCATCCCCTGGAGCCACCGCCAGAACGCGGCCGTCGGGAAAACCGGCCAGGAAAGGTGCATCAGGGCCAAGAACGAAAGCAAGGCCCAAGAGAGACCCCTTCTCCAAACCTCCGACTGCGCAAACCTACCTGACTCTTCTTACTCAGCAACGACCAGCCATTAGTGTCGAACTCTTTCCTCTTCTTGTCAAGACTTTCCTGTTTTAAGTATTGCCTGTAGGAATAAGAGAACAAAGACAGCTTACTTAGAGGAACGGGGGAAACCAGCCAGTTACACTATATGTCAGTTTACCCTAGATGTCCTCTGCCATGTTTGCAGAATTAATGCAAAATGGAAGTCCAATATTTTCGTCTCGGTATTGGCCATTTTAAAAAAGGGCTCTATAGACCCGGGCTTTGAGGCAGGCAAAAGAAGGACCAAGCAGGACTTAACAACTCATCCAAAAAAAGTACCTGCCAAGCAGAGAGTCAAAACCACAAATAAACCAGCGAGAACAAATCTAATTCATCGGAGAGTGACTCACGGCAGAGAAAAGCTCAGCAGCCACGGGGCTGCCTCAACAGGCTCCTGCAAGCGGAGCGTTTATACTCGAGGGGAGACTGGAGAGCTGAACTCCGTCTCTGATGGCGTCCTGTGAACTGGTGCCTCTTGTCCTTTGAGGACCTTACTTAGCGTAAAGGCAGACAGGAGCAAATTTGTCACAACCTTAACAGCGTCCCAGCAGCTCTGAAACAAGTACCCTGTGTGTAAAGCGTCAAAAAAAAAAAAAAAACACAAACCCAAACCACCACAAAGCTCCTCTCCGGGCCGGTGGTGGGTTCAGCTCGCTGGCAGATGTCCTCCCGGAGCTCTTCTCCCAGGTTTCCCTTCCACTCCTGATTTGATTTCTCCTTACCACAGAAGACAGATGGCGAGGGCTTTCAAGGAGAGGCAAACTAGGGAAGACGACCCTGATTTTCTCAAACACGGTCCAAGGCTTGGGGACGGAGGGGAGGCAGCCCTGGGAAAAGCCACACCACAGTCCTCTCCGGGACGCTTTTACAGGGATTGAGTCCAGCGGGGAGCACAAGCGGGAGAAGGAGCCAGCCGTGGCGGCGGTGGGATGTCAAATACCTTTCACAAGCCTTCAGCAGAGGGAGAAGAGCCGCAGAGCCAGTCCCATTCCAGTTCCCAGAACCGGAGAACAAGGAAAGCTCACGCGTACTGGCCCCTCTCCTCCGCCCAAAGAGGCTTCCACCAGTTTGGCCTGAATTGTACCACTGGAAGAACAGAAAAGTGGGGGTTTTCTTCCTGCCTCCTTGAAAAAGTTTAGAAACTCTACCAAGACGCTGCCCAAAGCATGCCCAAGCAACTGCCACGCGTCTTCCTTGGCGGATGTGAACACCTTGAACCATTCCCTTCACTGGGAAGTACAGAAAGGGGGGCTCAGGAAGGACACAGGCATAAAGGTGGACTAGAGGGAGCCCAAGGAGACGAGGCGATGGGCCCAAGACATTCACAATGGCCCTAAAGAAGCCCCTCTCTGTTAGCTGCCGGCATCATTAAGCGACGTTCAGCTTTGCAGACACCTTCTGCTCATCTTGGTTACCAAAAGGACCGGGAAGATCTACAGAAACCATCTCCTTCACATTTGGCGTCTTCTCAAAACAGCCCGAGGAGCCTTCTCACTGTCGCCACTGTGATCAGAAAGTTTGGAAAGGAAAAGCAAGGGATTAGATGCTGCTGGCTCAAACGGAGGGGTCAAGAGAGCATCTGGCGCAGAGAGGGAGGCGGGTTTGGCCGCCGCCGCGGGGAGATGTGCCATCTTTCGGAAATCTGATCCACAAAGACTTGGCTAAATTGCATCTTGCTGTCAGTAAACGCCGAAACGCGACGGGAGAAGGGGGCGATGCGACCCGCAGACAAGCCCAAAAGGTGTAGGGTCGAACTCGCTGCCCTGGTGCCAGTCAGGGAACTTCTCCCTACCAGAACTTCAAAGAAGTATTCGGAGAAAACTCTCCTGGGCTGAAAAGTCCCTGAAACACCCAGGGGCCGCTGAACCAAGTACTCAAAGCGGCAGCAGAACCACCCAGGAACCGCTGAACGCAGATAGAGCCCCGTCCTAGCGATCGCGTCTCTAGAAAATAGCCAGAAATAAGTTTTGCTGGACGTAAGGGTGTCGAGGAGGGGAGTCTCCCTCCTGGCAGTCCCCCCGAGACTAGATCAGCTCCGGACAAGCATTTTCTAATCAGCCTTCATTAGCTGGACGCACACTCCCGGCCCAGTTCCCCAGCACAGGGTCTGCTGGCTGCCAGCGACCGCTGTAATTGCTCTTGGGAAGCTCTCTGCTTGGCTGCTTTGACTCGGCTGCAGTTTGGACAAGACAAGATCAGCAGGGGGTAAGTCTCAGAAAAAAAAAAAAACCCTTTCACTGAGCACGAGAAGTCTCTGTATCTCATCTCCAAATAAAAGCCTAACGGATGGAGAAGAAACTCCTTGCAACGAGTTCAAAATAAGGGTGAGCTGAGCCCCCAGCACAGTGGCTGGAGGAAGGGAGCAGACTATCTGCACCACAATATAAACACGGTGAAAACGTTTAATTAATTAAACGGCCTCATTTCAATTGCAATAAAAAAAAAAAAAAATCCTGGCAATTACCGCCTGCTACAGAACCCACTTGAATCCTCAGCTAAAAAAAGAGCAGCGGCCCACGGCCCACTCTGTTCTGCACGTTAGAGACGGGGAGCGAAGCTGTGCAGAGGAATAAAAGGATGCATCACACGAGGAACCGGGACGAGCCTCCAAGCAACGTCTCCGCGTGGACCGGGTCTGCACATACGGAGCGGGGGCGGAGAGAGGATCCGAGCGCGAGACTCGTCTGGCAGGCAAGGAAGAAACCAGTGAAGTTTAAACGGTGCCGGAGCTTCAGCAGGTAAAGCGACCAGGTGACTTCTGCACATCCAGTTTTATCTCCGACTACCACAAGCCAGAGCTGCAACGCCGACGCACGCACGGCAGCCAGGAAATTTTGAGTCGTTTCTAGAAGAGGCTAGGAAATAAGTCGTGTAAGAAATACAGCACCGGCCCTGCTTAGGTAACAGCCTGAACCACCTTTTAGGAGGAGACCGAAAGAAAATGCCTTGACTTCAAATCGCGAGGCAACTTTGGGAGGCAGAACTTAACTGATGAACTTGGTCAGGACCTCAAGGAGAAAGAGCTTGACACAGAATTTTTAAGCAGAATTACAGGCCAAATCAAAACCCAACGTGCCCGCGATGCCCCATCACATACTGCAGGCTTTTAATCTCGTTTTCCTAAACCTGAAAATGGAATTTTGCCCTCTACAGTGCTTACACACACACGCACAAAAAAGCCTGACCAGGTGCCTCAGGGAATTGTTGAAATCAACTCCGCAGCACACTGCTAAATATCTGAAAGCCTTGAAGTAAAGGGCACGTAAAGGTGAGCATTTTAAGCGCTGCTGCTAGCAGGAGATAAGAAGATTTCACAGGCATGAGTCACTGTGTGTGCTCTGTCCCCTAAGCTTTCCTCCAGCACCGGTACACTAGAATCAAGTTTTTACCTAATTCTAACAGGTTGGTTTATGTCCGCCCCAAAACACGGACCCTTCCAGCACAGCCGAGATACCGAGCACCGCCTTTCCCAAGGAGAAACCCCATAAGAACAGAGGCAGCTTGCCCGAAATCCTCTCCAGGTCTCACCCCCAAGTTGTGTGGAAGCCCAGATGCTGAACCAAAGCATGGCAGCCACCAAACCATGAACGTCTGTGGTCCCTACTCACTCCTAGCCTGGCCAGCGGCCCTTGTATTTAATCAGTTACCTTCCCCGTGCCTCAGTTTCCCTCCTCTGTAAAGTCTGGCTAATGGTACGACACTCACCACCTTTAGGAAGCTCTAAAGATTGAAAGCATGAAAGGGTCACTAACCATGAATAGGACCTCCGTCCCTTCTTCCCGGTGTGATCCTCCCACTGCATTCAACCAATAAAAGCCTCCTAAAAGGAAACAGAGGGAAAACAATTACGTCCAGGGCAACGGCGACCTGAAATCCCGGCTCTCTACCACTCACCCTGCGTGGCCGAAACACCTTGTATCCTCTGGTACCCTCTGCTACCAGTTTGGGGACCTGCTTCCTTCATCCCAGACCCCTAAACGAAGCACGGGCAGGACTCCCCCTCTCACCTCCCAGGTGTTTCATTTTCACCAGACGTCCGTGCCTTTTTTCCTTGGAATCAAAGAAATTCAGGCTGAAAGGAACCGGTTTCACCCAGACCGTCCCTGCCCCAGGGCAGGCCAGCTCCGCTGGCACCGTTCTTGAACACAGAGGCACAAGCCGCACAGCGAAACTAAGAGACGCTGCCCTGAGCCATTTCCAAAGATTTTATACTTTTCCTTTCCCTTTCCTCCCTTTAGACCAACATCACAGAGCAGCGTGGAAAAGGGAAACAGCTCTTTTCACAGTTATTGAAACGAACCCGGTGCGCGCAGACTGCAAAGCACCTGAACTGGAAAACAAAGGTGCTAAACGGACTGGAAATGGCATTTGTCTGCCGTCTGCCTTTATCATTATTAACATTCCTTGACTGAATGAGTGACACCTCCGCTGACATACTCAACCTCATGCCAGAAGACTCAGGATCGTATTCCCGAGTCAGCGTCGGAGCGAAGCCGAGACGAGAAACAGAACCGACGGCCGGCCCAGGGTCAACGTCGGAGCGACAGAGGAGCTGGCGACTGCGTTTCGTAAATCACTTTGCGATCTGATTCGTATCAAGCCTGACGGCCCTACGTGACTAGGGACCTTCGAAAAGAGGGGGTTTTTTTCACCCCTGCCCAGAGAGTAGCTCATTTTTAATCGCGCTCCGTTCAGGAGCAGCTTCCAAGTATGGGGAAACAGTTCTGGATTTGACGTGCAAGCACCTCTCTTCTACAAGAGCTCAGAGAGTAGGCAGCCAGCTCCGCTCCCTCTTGGAGCATCGCTCAGGATGGGAAAACCGAGATCTCCTCTGCAGTCTGAACCCAGGAAGAACAACTTTCACCCAGCTCCGGTTTGGAGGCATGGCACAGCGTGTAACGCCCCGCTGGAACTCAGTACAGAAGAGACCCGTGCAAACCTTTATTCGTGGCCTGACGCAAGAGACACTCCCGCACCCTACGTATACCATCGCGCTCTCCAGAATCTCCTTCTTGAAACAAAGGGACAAGCTGCCGAGCTGATCGTTGCCACAGGCAGGAAAAGCTCCCACCTGGAGGAAGGGGCCAGGAGATGCCATTTCTTCAAGCGGCTGCAGGACAAGGGAAGGACCCCTACCCCTCAGGGTCCGAGAAGCCATTTTCCTCCTAAAGGCGATGCCCAAGATGACTCTGTAAGACCCGTAAAGCCTGACGTCCTTAACAGAACGGGTCTGAAACCCGCCTATACCCATGAAGGTAACACCAGCCTCGCTGACAGATCTTCTGGGAAGAGGTGAAGACGGGGCATCGGCACAGGACTCTCTCACAGACCAGCTTTGTAACTGCGGACCGAGTCAGCAGCGCGTGGTGAAACACGAAGCGTGAAAACCAGGATGGTCCTCTGAACCCTCCTTTCAGGACCCAGAAAGGGACCGTCCCCACGGACGGGTTGTTGCTTCCAGAGCGAGATAAGAAGCCGTCTGATTTTCAAACAGGCACAACTCAGGTAAGCGTTACTCACAACAGTATCCTGCAGGCTTCGCTGTTTATTCCGCCCATGGAGTCGTAATAGGTGACGGTTTTTTTCCTGAAGTCTACAACCTACACAAAGAGAGATTCGTTAGTAAGGCACAGCACAAGGAGCTCATCTCCTCGCCAGGACGCAGGCTCTGCCGCTAGAAAGAAGTAAGTTTAGACCATTTCACAGCAGGGAAGGACTACAGAGGACTTCTAACATCCTCGGTACGAGCCCTCCCCAAAATCCCCCCTTGCTGCTGCGTTATTTAAGCACTTGAATCTCTAAATCGGGTATAACACAAGAGCACTCTGTCATCCTTATTGTTAAGGCCACAGACAGATAGGTTTACAGAGGCTTTGCTCCTCCACCTGACGTGCGCATAACTGAGCAGTTCAAGACACGAGTCCCCCAGGTGGTTTTTTTGGGGGCCCCGTGGCCCATTTCCACACCGTCGCCCACCCGCGTGAGCACCGCCTTTCCGGGCAGCTTAAAAACCCCTCCGAGGAGGTTCGAAGGAAGGAGGCTGACACAGGCTTAAAAGCCACGCGCGACCCGTTACTGCACGGGTGCCGGCAGCCAAGAGAAGGGACGGACCAAATCAGGGGCAGGAGGTAGAGAAAGCTGTGCGGTATCTATCATCTAAATCTCTCTGAAACAATCCCGCGGCAACGTCTCTAAAGGCGAGTTTGTGGGAACGTGGAAACGAGATCTTCCTCCGGAGAATACGCTAGCCTAACGCGACCAAAAAACCTGTCTGTTTTTTCTTTAAAGACTAGAAACACACCCAAAAGTTGCAGCTATCTTTTTTGCTCGCTCTAGACTTCGATTTCAGCCACAAACACGCCTCCCCCCCCCCACCCCACCCCGACGCACAGACACCTGACAACTGCATCGCTCAAGAGCCGTGACATTTCAGCCGCAGTCACAGGTGAGTTTACAGGACGACCTGCTCCAGCTATCGCTCTACCGTGAATAACTGAAGCACTCACTGCTAGGCACCAGTGCACTCCCAGATGAATAGGCACCAAGAGGAGATCCACAGAGAAGATATCCACTTTTTTAGTCCACCGTTTCACGGCTTGGTACCCCGCCGTTTTTAATTTGGTAAAGAAGAAAGTATTGAACGCGTGAACCGCCGGCAAACCCTTCTCTTTGCTCCGCTCCATCAGCAAATTCATGTAGAAATTAATTATCTGGGAAAGAAAAAGCATCCAGGACGTGTTAGAGCGTTAACGTTTCTGCATAAGGCGTTCTGCCCCTGTGCAAAATTAGGGTAAGGAATTGGTTTCGCCTCCACCTGTCCCCCTGAAGACCTGTCCCCAGGGGATTTACAACAGCGCAGCGTTAAAACCTTCCAAAATCCAGAAAGATTTAGGACTGCAGTCTTCTATATTTAAGGGTTACTTCCCCCCACCACCCCCCCGATCACGTCCGTGGTCAGTCCCACTCCTCCCAATATTATTATTTCTTCAAGCGCCTGGTCTACGCAGGGGTTTCTCCACAGATTAACTGCTCCAGAGCGCCAAGCACAGCCCACACCTACTATTCACTCTGACGTCTTTCGGCAACAAGGCAGACACGCTTGTTCGCTTCAACCTACTTTAAATTGCCAAAGAAAAATGCCTTCACGGCCCCAAGATAGGCTCCTCACCTCGTCATTGAGCCAGTTCAGATTATTGAGGGTCTGAATGTCTTTCCGAGTGATTGTTAACCGAAAAGCTTCACTGAGGACCTCGTCCTGGTTCCCACCTCGGAACACGTTCTTTATTTCCTTTTCCATCTCCTGCAGGGAGGACACAGGCAGCATTGGAAGGCAGAGCTCCTGCTATTCCCGTCACAAAGGCTGGGCCCAACCCCAGGTTTATTCTTTGCTCCTCAAAAGGATAAACTCGCTACAAAATGTCGACGGCCAAAGCGAACGGCTACCTGTTTCTGTGCACAGACCTCAGGAAAACGCATTCCCGTTTAGATCTTTTACGCACACAGGCGTCTGCTTGTGTACACCAGATCCAAGCAGATTTACCTCGGTGATTTCGGGGAACTCCTCTTCGCCGTCAGCTGACTTAGCATCCTCTTTCTCTTCTGGGACCACCGTGACAGGGATTTCCTTCTCAAGGGGTACTCGAAGATTTAAATCCACCAGGTCCTGCACCGAGTGTTCCTGTTCCTGCAGCCGCTGGAGGAGAGACCTTCAGATTAGGTGGTGTCCAAGGGAGCCACCTCTCCGGAGCTTGCGAGGGAGCTACGTGGGGCCAGTTGTTCCAGGAGATGCAGAAAGGGGCACGAAGGGGGAGCGTTTACCCTGGCCACGACGCTACCGAGAGCCCTGCCACGGGAAGGGGAAGCGACGAAGACACCGGACCCCGAAGGAGTCGATTTTTGTCATTTTTCCACTTCCAATTTGCTTTCTATTCTGTGGTTTAACATTCAGACTCGCCAAGAGCGCTCTTTCAGCAACTGCTCTCTGTTACCTGGCTTTGCAGCTGTAAGGCCAATGCTTTCTGCTCTTCAATTTGCCGCCACCTCTCCCGAGCTCGTGAATCATAGACACTGGTCCTGAAAAGCACAGTTTATGTGAACACATCCGTGTTTATTTCTACACGTGAACACTCACAACAGGAAAACAGGAGCAAAAACCCCGTGTACTTACAGTTCTTTGATCCACAGTTCTGCCTGGAAGAACGGGAGGCTAGAAAGGGGGAGAAAGGAGAGGCGTAAGTCGTCTCCTTCACACGGAGAGGAAGTAATTGCCTGAAAAGCGATTTGTATTATCCGAGGACGTCCTTATTGCTAGAGCGACGGTAAGAGCTACAGACAGATCTGCCAGCGGTGTGCAGATCGGGGTACAGAAGTTGGGTACATCACACTCAAGTTCCTGTGACTACAGCAAACTTCTCTCTCTTCACAAGACATTCAGAAAGCCACCGGTCACCTTTTCATCTGCATTCTCGCCTCTCCGTGGAATTAAAAGAGAAGCTAATGTAATCCACCCCTCCCTCCAGATACCATTTTACAGCCTCTTACCTTGGTGCTGGGGTTCTGGAATCCTTTACCTTGAGCAAAATGACAGAGTCCGACCCTAGAGAGAGTAAAGTTTACGGAACGTTGTTATCCTCACAATTACCTCCCGGTTCCCCAAGTGCTGCAGGAGTCCAAATACCGAGAGGGAGGGGAAAAAGCGGGTTTGCCACATACATTTAAGTCGATTGCCAGGTTTTAGGGTTTCCTTTTGGGTTTGTTTTTTGTTTGCTCGGGGTTTGTTTGGTTTTTTCTTTTTACCTTCAGACTGCGTGTTAGATGCTGGTAGATTTTCTCGCTGATGCTGGGCCGTGGAGTTACGGGAGTCAAAGATATCGGAGGGATAGCTGGGGGCAGAGTAGAGCGACGGTTTGTGCGACGGCTGCTCCTGTGCTCTGAGGACGCCGGTCGCTGAACTGGCTGGTGCAACGCTGTGAGCTTCGAACAGCTTTGAGTTCTTGCTGGGAGCTTCCTTCACTACGGTTTTGCTGGAATTGGAACACCTGGACCTAGGAACAACAGACAGCAAGTCCCCAGCGAATACGAGTGGTGCCGTCGGCTGGAGAAGAGCATTTTACATACTCACAGATTGAAGGGGAATAGCGAAGAGGGCTTGGACGTGGAAAATTGTTTTCCCGTGACCATCTGAAGCAACTGCCTGTAGATCTCTCGCTCCTCCTCGCGAACGGTCTGCAGGGAAATAACCAGATACGTCTAGCGAACGCGATTTCAACAAAGACACTGCGAACAGCGAGCAGATACACATGGAAGTGGAGATTTTATCGGTGGAAGCGCATCCAGGGGTCTTGAAGAGTTCAGCCACCAGCCTGGATCAGACCAGCCGCAGCTGAAGTCTGAACGCGAGCAGAGCTGGAGCCGGCTTCTGCCTGGCAGAAGGAGGGAACCCAGCACAAGACAGTCGGTTAGAGCCGCCCCAAGCACTTCAAGGTGCCCAAAAGAGACCTCCTCAGAAAAATCCACCCACTGAACGGTCTCCCAGCCTTTTCTTTACCTCTTCCGCCGTGCTGATGAACCGCCGGGGAGTTTTCTTGGGGCTAAGCAGGCTGCGGCGACACGGGCCGCTCCAGGAAGGGCTCTGAGCGGGTTTGATCGGAAAAGCCGACGCATGGCAATGGTGGTTTGATTTTCCTACAAAACTGTTGGACGTCCCGCTGCGAGGAGAGAAAGAAACGCTCTTATTTGACTTTATGCTTGTTCTAATCCATAACCTCGTTCTCCCCCATCCCCATAGAATCACAGAATCATGAAGGTTGGAAGAGACCTCCAAGATCATCGAGTCCAACCCTCGACCCAACACCCCCATGCCCACTGAACCACGTCCCTCAGCGCCTCATCTACCCGTCTTTTAAATACCTCCAGGGACGGGGACTCAACCACTTCCCTGCGCA